AAAATTTGTCTCATCTTGTTTGAGTCAGTGCACAGCTATTTTATATATGAAGTAAAATATTTTTATATATGCATAATCCCTGGATTCTGCTCTTTCAAATGGTATATAAACGATCTTTTTTCTTCAATGTTTTTACGGAGAAATTAGCGGTCTACGGTGATGTACTGCAGCTGTCGTTATTAGGAGCACTTTCCCTAATTTCGACAGCAAGCCATTTTTTGTCCCTAATATCGACACTTATACAAAATTCAAGCAAAATACAATCTTTTGAGAACAAACAAATTTTTTACGTCTTCTGATCAGAAAACGAGCAAAGGTCATCTGAGCAATTTTGTAGAGCATGTCAAGATCTATCATAATCTAAAGGTTCATGAAAAACGAATTTGTTTCTAATGAGTAAAATAAGTTGAGAAGAAGATGTCTAAAATCAATGAAAAAAAAATGTCCATAATATCGACACCAAGCTATTTTTTGTCCCTAATATCGACACCAAGCCATTTTTTGCCCTTAATATCGACATCAAGTCATTTTTGCCCCTAATATCGACACCAAGTCATTTTTGCCCCTAGTATTGACACCAAGTCATTTTTTGTCCCTAATATCGACACCAAGCCATGTTTTGCTCCTAGTATCGACATTAAGCTATTTTTTGCCCCTAATATCGACATCAAGCTATTTTTTGTCCTTAATATCGACACCAAGCAATTTTTTGCCCCTAATATCGACACCAAGCTATTTTTTGCCCCTAATTTCGACACCAAGTTATTTTTGTCCTTAATATCGATACCAAGCCATTTTTTGTCCCTAATTTCGACATGAAGCAATGTTTTGTCCCTAATATCGACACCAAGCCATCTTTTGTCTCTAATATCGATACCAAGCCATTTTTTGTCCCTAATTTCGACATGAAGCAATTTTTTGTCCCTAATTTCGACATGAAGCAATTTTTTGTCCCTAACTTCGATATATCATTACAAAACTAATACAAAACCTCTTAGCGAAATCCCTGCGCGATTAAAATGTGAAAAACGAAATAGCTGTTGTAATGCCAATTACTAATGTCTGTCACGATCTGTGGGAAGGAAAGTGGATGCAATTTTATACCCATATATACTTCAACATTTCTTTTAGTTTGTGTTTCACAAATGTGTGAAACACAAACTAAAAGAAATGTTGAAGTATATATGGGTGTGGGTGTGGGTGTCGGTGTGGGTGGGTGGGTGTGGGTGTGGGTGTAGTTTTTCTTTTAATCCACACCCGCACCCACACCCAAAATGGCTGAACATTAAAGTCATTACGCAATGCACACAGTGTTTTCGCACCTACGAACGCGCACGAACAGTCACGAACATCTACGAACATTTATATCTTTTGCCAGTGAGTAGGCCTACTCCAGTTAGATACATGTCCAAAATATTAGCCTTTTATATATGTTGCAGTTGAGTTTGGAATTTAGTTGAGATTGGAATCGTTTTGTTTCTTTTGTTTATTTATACATTCTCTTAACATGCATGCAAAAGAATTTGTTTCTTTGTCACTAAGTTTATGCTTATTGTTATTTCTTAGATCATCAAAATACATTCATTTTTTATTTTGATTGATGTTCAGCAGCGAGACATGATGGCATTCAATGATTGGTTGAAACGAAATCTATAGTACATTAGTCAACTGTGTTATTCTATATTTGAAATTTTTTTGAACTCGGGACATTGGGACATTGAATGATTGGTAGAAACCAAATCTATAATAGATTAGTCAACTGTGTTATTCTCTATTTAAAACTGTTTTGAGCAGCGGGACATTGGGACATTGAATGATTGGTTGAAACGAAATCTAGAATAGATTAGTCAACTGTGTTATTCTATATTTGAAATTTTTTTGAACTCGGGACATTGGGACATTGAATGATTGGTTGAAATGAAATCTAGAGTAGATTAGTCATCTATATTATTTTATATTTTATCAAAAATCTACTATATAGTAATTTGTATTTTTTAAAAATTAAAATATCCTCAATTTAGACATTTTATCTAGATTTTTTTAAAATTAATTAAAAAGACCACAAAGCCGAAACTAATAAGTTAAAATTGCTAGATTTTGAAAACATGAGCACAGCAAAAAAATAAACATTAATTATCTTATGACTCATGATGTATGCATGAAATTTTTCTTTTGTTTATGCATTCCAATCTCAACTAAATTCTCATGTCAACTGTGACATATATTTGCGTATTAAAAATAGCAGGGATGTGCTTTTTCAATTTTAAGCCTTATAATTGAATTTCGCATATTAGTCATTTCGCGTAAATCACGACCGTATCTGCTTAATCGGGGGTTGTCAGATCTTGCTCAATTGAAGATACTGTTGTGGAGGGAAGAATTTTATGAATTTTGATGCAAGCCATTTTGAAAATATTGAACCCTCGATTTTTTTGAGGATGTTTTATGAAAAGTTCTAAAAACCTACATTTCGACCAGCGCGAGTTTTGATGGAACCATATCTCAAGAACGGTTCAACTGATTGAGCTGAAATTTTTTGTGAGCATATATCTATGTGAGTTCTAATCACGATAAAATTTTCAATTCGAAACACTGGGGGCGTGACTGCGATTGCGAGTGCGAGTGCGGATAGAGTAGATGTGGGTGGGTTTTTTCTCACTTGCTAGACGCTCAGACCCACTTACCCAACACCTAACACGCGACACCCACACTCCACACTCACATTCACATCCGCCCACCCGCACGCCGCACCTCCTAGGGCCGCACCCTCTTGGAGGTTAGGGTCGGAATGAGTGAGACTGAGGATTGGTGTAGGTAGGTAAGAATTTAGGGTGATGGTGGACGAGGGTTAGAGTATAGTTGGTCCAGGATGCGCGGATAAAGTATGTAAAGGTCAGGATGCAGGATGACGTTTGTACTTCATGTTATATTGCACGTGATTTCTGACAAGTGGTTCACGATGCGAGAGTGGACATAGCCAATAGAATGAATATGCGGAAGCAGATCTATTCGGGTACTGAGATACAAGATTTAGAGATTCCGGATGGGAACTGATGAGACCCACGTGAATTGACAAAGCTCATCAGGTTAGTTGTCAGAGCGGACTCTGCATGAATCATCGTGAAGTAGGTATATGCTAGGGAAAGCTATGTAAGTTTTATTTGGAAATGTGCCTCTAAAACGGTGTATTTTATATAATTTTTTAAGGATTTCCGAGCATGCAATATTTTCCAACTGTTACTATTCTACGACATATTCGATTGTATGAAGATGGTTCTGATTCGACCAGTATTAGCCGAAAACTTGAGTCTGTCGCTAATATCTGTGAAGTCTTCACAAGCCATTGCTAGCGGTATTACTATTGACATTGACTGAATGAAAATCTCGTTGAGTTACCCAGTTTCGTTTCGATTTGATTCTACAAGACAAATGGATTTACTTGCAAAAATTTTATTTGATTGTTGGCAGTGACGCCCAACATAGTGTTCCATATCGTTTTATGGTATCAGATTTTAAGAAAATGTTAAAAACCTGCCCAATAAAAAATATATCCTGCTATTCAAAAATACTCACGCTTGGTGTTTAACGCCTCAGATATGGTATTGTCAACAAAATGAAAAACGACAAAGTGATTGACAACATTCGTTTGCAGCATGCAGAGAGTTACCCACTCACTTTATTCGGTTGTTTTTATTGTTTTTTTCGCTTGCTCAGAAAAGAATCCCATCGCATTTAAAACTTTCGTTTCTTTTGCGTCAAAGTTCGATCGGAAGAAAGAATAAACAGAAATGGCTGAAGACAAAATTCAGTTGCTTCGCATTTTCAATGCACGAAACTGTATGAAAAACAAACATTTATTGTGAGTCAATATTGTTCGTGGCTCCATTCATTGTGAAACTGAAGCTGTTACAGTTAGCTTTCGAATAACAACAGCATTATTTTATGCGGCTCAATGAAATATCTTCGCTAAGTTCGTCGAACTTCTTTTCTAGAAACGAATGATGAATATATTTCTACAGTTACGCGATCATTCAAATTTCTTCTATGTGATATCCAAATATCATTCGAAAGGGTGTGGGTGGGTGGGGGTGTGGGTGAGGGTATGGGTGTGGGGTTGAAAGGAATACTCACACTTACACACCCGGATCCACGCCCCCACCCCCACACGCACACTCCACCACACCCATATTCACACCCCACCCACTTCCACACCCAGAACAGTCACGCCTACACCTATCCTCAGACCCACACTCACACCCTCACCCATACTCCACACGCATACCCTACGTAAACTGGTAGGCAGAAACAAGGAACAAAGAGTATCAAGATAGCGCATTAAAAAAGTTTCATACGTTACATTAGTGTTGTATTTTTGTTGCTTTCTATTAAATTGCCTTGTCAAATAGCAGCCACTCTAAAAGCGATGATTCACGTTGCTCTATCAATTAGCATATGCGTCACCAACATATAAACTGATCGAGTGGTTCGTTTTTTTCTTTTGTAAAATTTACTCCAACCAGAGGTAGCATTATAAATTAAGAACTCAAGATAGATTATATGTATGGTTCCTAATCTCCCTTGGAGATATTTCTTTAACATAAAACTCTAAAGGTCATTGAAAAATATGTTCATACTAGTTATGGCTTTGGCTCTAGCTCTGACTTATTGATTGAGTGTTGAGGAGAAGAACAAACAGCTTCCTCTTCTATCCCACAGTCTATGGTCACACTCACATAGTGGAAATATTGGTAAATTATCAACAACACGACTACATCGAATTATTACTCATTATTGCGCTCTAAAATATGTTTTCGTTTGAACGGTTTTGTTTCGTAATCTACCACATGGTTGTCGTCATAGTAATGCACATATTTTTTCATTCAATGAGTTTATTGGCAGCGAACGAAAAACACAAAAATAAATAGTCAAGAAAGAAATGATGTAGGTTTGTTCTCTCGGTGCATTGAAGGAAGTAAACATATATTTAATACAGAATAGCAATGACGAGTAAGTATTCCCAGTGAAAAATGTGGAACGTTCTAACGCGTTCCAAGAAAATGAATGCCCTTTTTTTAAGAAAAGAAAAGTGTTCCAACAAAACTAGAACGTTTCTCGACATGTAATTTTCATTTTGGAACGCATTCCAAGTTTTGTTGGAACGTTTTTTTTTTTCTTAATAAAGGGCATTCATTTTGTTGGAACGCGTTAGAACGTTTCACATTTTTCATTGGATTACAGTATATTTACGTATATATAGGGTGTTTTAAAATCTCTTTCTTCAAAACTTTTCCCCCACATCTTTACTATTCGATTCAAATTTATCAACTATTGTTTTAGCTGCAAAATGATTTTTAAACATCTGAACAATTTGAAGATTAGAATGATTCAATAAATCTGAATAATTAAAAATCGATCATCGTATAATCTTTTTCTACCTACAAAAAAAAGGTCAATATTTTATGCCAGTTAGAAATAGTAGCTCTGAAAGGTACTTTTGAACTAAGATCTGTGAAAAAACTTTTGGAAAGGGACTTTTGTGGCACATTATAAACACACAAAAGAAAAGTTATAATCAGTATATTTGCTGTCTTGTCCGATATTACTGGTTTGAGAGTGGATGTAGATAATGCTGATGTCATTGTGTTACTTTCATTATTTTAGCACTTTTATAATTCTAAGAAACTCATTATTTCGAAAAAACAGTAACCATGCAATTGGTTTCATAATTTTCATGACTCTCATTTCAGGCATTTAGTTAATGAAAGAAAAACAAAATTATTACATTAGTTTCATACTACATTTTTATTTGAGTCACCAAATTTTGTACCAAGTTCAAGATTAGTACATTTACTGACCTTTTTTTATAAAAGATAGTTTAAGTTGATGACTTTAATGTAAAATACATTATGAAACGCCATTTTGCTATGAGACTACATGGTCAAAACCGATTAATTTAATTTTTTTACATAAAGATGTGATCTGTCAAGTATAGCTTTTACGAAAATAAAATGTATGAAGACAAGAATGGTATCATGCTCTGCTTTTTGTAGCATTAATCAATTGATATATTTAATATTCTGAGGGTGCGGGTGGGTGTAGATTTGTGAAGAATGATCATCAACCATACCCACACCCACATCCTACTGTAAAAGTAGAGCCTGAGAAAATCTACAGGAACACCCACGCTGACATCCAACGTTTCCAAAAAAAATAGCAAAGAAAATAATAAAGGACAATAAATATCAATTTTACTCTCTGTGATAGCTGCTGTGCATGATCAAGTTCAGAAAAATCGTCAAAATGCATCAGAATTAAATTCACTTACTCATATAACACAACTTAATTATGATGATCATTGGGAAGAAATCGAAATTCATCTTAAAAGAGGAAAGATACCAGCAAAACAAAAAAATAAAATTATTAAATTTTTAATTTTATTTAAGTCATCTGGTCCTTATTTGGGATTTTCAATTGGTGGTGGAAGTGATATTTTTCGTATTAATGGTTCTAGAGCTATTGTTGTTACACGTATTACTGCAGGTGGCCTTACTGATCGTGACCAACAATTAAAGTGAATTTATAAATTTTAATATTTCTGAAAAAAAAACAAAATACATATTTTTCTTACGTTTAGACTTCATGATATTATTTTACGCGTTAATAATATCAATTTTACTAATATTAAACATCGAACAGCTGTTGATATCCTTCGAGCAGCTGATAATCATGTTAACTTAGTAAGTGTATTAAGTTGTTTTGTTATTATAAATATGATGAAAGCATCTTGTGTATATTCTTAGTTAATTCGTCGATTATTGCCACCTATTCAGGAAAAAATTTACATAAAAATACCACCCGGTACAAATTTAGGTCTGCTAATAGTAGGTGGCATTGATCATGAATATATTGAAGGGTTCGTTTTTATGGTTTTATTTAAAAAATTTAAAAGAAAATTTCATTTCTTTTCTCTTTTTAGGGATCCAGGAATATTTATCATAAATATCATTCCAGGAACAGTCGCTCATGCAAATGGACGATTAAAAGTTGGTGATCGTCTTATGTATATACAATCATCAGTAAGAAATATTCATTGATCTTTAATTGAAAACGATTTTTCTTTCTACATAGAAAAATACATTTGATTTAACATATGTTTGGAATGAACAAGCTGTTGAATTAATTCGACGTGCATGCAATGAAAGTGAAACAATAACTTTATTAGTTGGCCACCCAACATATTTAGGTATACTTATATATGGCTGTGTGTAGTTAATTGGTATCCTTGCACTCACTAGACGCCCTCACATCACACTAATACCAACGCTATCGAAACATATCATATACCCACTCATTCCACTTCCTGATTTGTACAGCATCATGCATATCCACATGCATCCTTTTCTAAGCCGTCTCAAGTTTCTCTTATTCATATTTTTTGAGAAATCGTGAAGTATTCGATAGTGACTTAGTATTGAACACTGAATGGGAAATTATTTGTTTATATTGAAAACTAATAAGCATGAAAAAATCTGTGCAATGAAGAGTGTTTAAGCACACATCTCTTGAACAAAAATCTTTCTCTTTGCTCTTTGTATTCTATATGATATCTTGTTCACCTCAAGTGAATTATAATAATGTCTCCTTTTAAAGTTTAAATGCTTCTTTTCATCTTTTCCAGATATGATTGTAAGTAACTATGGAAACCAGCTGAGAGGTTCAAAAGTTGATAACTCTTAATGTTAGCTACTGGAAAACTTAAGTAGTTAAAAATTCTCACAATAATCCAAATTATGAAGTGAATTTTTGTTTTTAGTTTATAAATTCAAATTTTATCCGGATTACACCCCGGCTACACTTATCACATTCGATACTACTTATAGAGATCTGTGATGAAAGCAGCTAGATTACAAATCGAAGAGTACATTTGCTAAACTAACAAATAGATATAGATATTAACTCAAAATAGAGAAAGTACCTTGTTTAACCTGAAAACAAAAACTCTATTCGAGCTGAGAGTGAGGGTATGGGTGTAATTGTGGCTGTAACTGGTGGGTATTAGTGAAAAGAAAGCTAATGCCCACACCGGCACCCACACTCTGATAGCTTTATTTGAGATCATGTTTCAAATTTAGATGGTGCAAGGAATGTCCAGATGGAACCAACGACACGACGAAAAATAAAAAGCTCGGTAAAACGAACAGAAGCAATTACAGAAACTGTGAAGGATAATCCAGTTAAAAGGAGAATTGTTGCTGATATTAATAATGGAAGTGGAAATGCGAAAAATAATAAAGGTGATGATTATGATGATGACCTAGGTAGATCACGTATAAGACACAAATGTGAAGGTTAGTTTCACTACATTTATCTTTCTAGTGTAAATATAACCGTTCCTCTTTTATTCTAGACACTATTGTAACTGATCTGAGAGGAAAATTTGATAATGTTATCGGATTAAAGCAAGCCAAAGAAGCATTGAAAGAAGCTATTATTTTGCCAGTTATATTTCCACATTTTTTTCAAAGTATTTACTATATAAATTATGCACTATAGTGTTGTTCTTCATTCTTTTATAGATAAACGTACACCATGGACTAGTATTTTACTCTATGGAGTGAGTTTTGAACTTTTAATTAAATTTCATCTTATAGTTTTTATTTAAGCCTACTGGTACTGGTAAATCATATTTAGCTAAAGCTATTGACGCTGAATGTAAAAGTCCATTTATTTCGGTGAGTTCATTGGATCTTTTTTCGGAGTGGCCCGACAAAAGTGAAAGAAATGTGAAAGCTTTATTTGAACATGCTCGTGAACGACAACCCTATATTGTATTTATTGATCATATTGATGCTTTATGCGGAAAGCGTAATGATACAGAATCTGAATCATCAAGACGTATCAAAAAAGAATTTCTTGCTCAAATGCAAAGTATATTTTTTGTGTACTCATAAGAATGAATAAATCTTGTGCTTTGATGTCTTATTAGGTATTAGAAAAGATAATCCAAGTGTTCTTGTACTTGCTGCTACCAATATTCCTTGGGCATTGGATACAACTATACTACGAAGGTATACTTGATGTGAAAAATATGTGATATATTTAGCTTTCACAATTACTTTAGTTTCGAAAAACGAATCTATACGCCATTACCTAATGTAAATGAAAGAGCAGCAATGTTTAAAATGTATTTAAGCGCTAGTAATTTTCATACGATACAAGACCATGAATTGATGCAACTAGCAGAAAAAGCTGAACAGCAAGTTTTGTGTTTTTATGAAATAAAAGATAATAATGTTTGATATTTAGCTATTCTGGTGCTGATATTAATGTTGTTTGTCGAGAAGCTTTATTAAGACCTATTCGACGACTTCGTTCAGCAACTCATTTCAAAAAGGTAGATTTTCTTCGATCAATTTTACTCATTTATTGATTTGATGATTTTAACGTAGATACGAAATCCAAAGGCTTATGGTCCTCGGCACCTTTGGCTTGTTTGTTCACCTGAAGATCTAGCTGCTGAAGAGATTACATTAGATAAAATAAAAAGCGAGGACTTATGCGAACCTCCAGTAACCATGGTTAGTTATTAGAAATCTTTGTCAACCAAATTTAAAATTGAGATTTATAATAATATTTTTAGAAAGATATGATAGCTGCTCTTGCTACACAGAAACCAACAGTAGGCAAATATGAAATATTAACATACGAAAGATTTACTCAACAGATTAATCAACAAGGTTCATAAAATCAATGGTCAATGTTCAAAACAAAATATACTATCGACGATCTCCTTTGTCGTTATTTATTCTCTTATTTCTTTTTTTTCCTGCTCCTTCCTTTTTTGTCTATTTCCTCCTTATCCTATTGTTCATTGTAAAAACAAAAGCTTTCTTTATAATTTTTTCTTCATTTAAAATCGGTACCCTACACTTCGTCCCCTACTTTTCGTTCGGTTACTTTTCGTCCCATACAATTCGTCCCACTTACATTTCGTCCTCTTACAATTCGTCCCAATTACATTTCATCCTAATTACATTTTGTCCCAAATTTATTTCGTCCCCTTACATTTCATCCCAAATTGTGAGTATTCATTTACATTACAACAATATGAAATAAAGTTTATTTAAATTAAATTCAAGTGCCTATTTTCAAGTTCATAGCAATTCGAGTTAAATATTTCTCGATATTATTAACATCATAGGACAGTGCGATTCTTTTCAATCATGCATCAAGATTTGGGGTGTGGGTGAGTGTGAGTGTTAGGTTTAGGTGAAGAAAAGACGAACACCCACACCCATCATGCAGTCATGGAGTCTACTGTTTCTTCCTTGGTTCTTCTTTTGTGAAACATGATTGTAATGAGCGTTAAAGTATATAGCGAGAAAAGTGAACTCCGCAAATCCGCTCCACTGACCGTTACAGACATTTCGACATGTTACCCCTTTGTTCTTGAAAAAATTGTGATCATTATAGCGAGGGTCTTTCTGTACAATTAAAGTCATTTCATCGTAGTTCTTACTTTAATCTCGTATGGATTGTACTGAAAACTTTTTCCTGGAAATTTTTGTTTTATTTTAAACTACAACAACATCGCTATAAGAGCAACAAGAGCAATAATTGTTATTGTTGCTTATTTAGTACTATGAACGTTGACCCGTACAAAATGCAATAATTCCGAATAGTATAGAAGCCAAGATCATAACGGCAAGTGTGACGAAAATAAAGCCAATAGGACCGATCAATGTCGAATTCATACTGAAACCAATTAAAAAAGCTGTTAGCGCAATCCCTTGCGTGATTAAAAATGTGAAACACGATGAATCTATTGTTACTAATTAAACAGAAATCCTTTTGTTCCGTTCCTTTGCGACATATTTGTAGTTAACCGTTTATCTGATCTTTTACAACTACAGCTTCTCTATCACGGTCTGTGATGGGTACCCTGGATTCTCTGTCACGGTCTGTGATGGGTACCAGGGTTCTCTGTCACGGTCTGTGATGGGTACCCTGAATTCTCTGTCACGGTCTGTGATGGGTCCCCGGGATTCTCTGTCACGGTCTGTGATGGGTACCCTGGATTCTCTGTCACGGTCTGTGATGGGTACCCTGGATTCTCTGTCACGGTCTGTGATGGGTACCAAGGTTCTCTGTCACGGTCTGTGATGGGTACCCGGGTTCTCTGTCACGGTCTGTGGGGGGGGGGGGGGGGGGGGGG